CCCGCCCCATTTTTCTCTATCCGATCGATCGTCTCTGTCTCTCTCCATCTCTTTCTCTTTCTTTTTCTGTTTCTGCTTCGTAACATTGTGCTTTCTTTTTGTGAAGTTTTCCCCTTAGGCCGTTGACTGAAGTTTCTGGGGGCTTCAAAAATGCCTGGTCAAACCATTTCAATAGTTTCTGTAGTAATGGTACATCATGTGTACGCCTTCTAGGATGTGAATCCCTGAGGAGACATGACAAAACAATCTGTTATGTGATGGTGAACTCGCTCCAAGGGCAACCAACCCCAGACCCTGACTTGAAGAAGTGAAGTTAAGTAAACTATACCTCAGTCAAAACTACATGCTGCCTGTAGTGCCAGTGATTCTGCTACAACATGGTCATTGAGGCACGCTTTTGGCGGTCTGGTCTCATTGATTGTACATCATGTGCACTTACATAATATATGTGTAAGGCATATGCTTGTATTATGCAGCGCGTTCTATTGACAAAAATCAGATTATATTTTTGATTGCTTTTAAGAACAAGATCTTAAGAGGGCTAAGCGAGTTGGAAGCCTTGTGGTTAGGCTACCAGACTTGCAATCTGCGAGTTTTCAGGGTTTTCCAGAAACCTTGACCTACACCAAAAGTGGGCATTGCCCTACCTATAGAATTTCCAGGAGAAGTGTGGTTTCTCTGTTTGTTTGGTTATATACAGATAATAGAGAAAAAAACTCTCTTAAAGAAGGTGAACAAGGGCAAAAACTTTACCTTCGATTTACTCAAAACAGGTTTTTTTCGGGATAGCCCCCTTGTACGCCCCCTTGTGCTTAAAAGCAACCATTTAGGAGGTGGGCTGCTTTGACCCTATATCTAAGGACCTTCTTCTCTGTCCAGGATTTGAACCCGAACATGGTGTATTTTTGGTAGAACCACTTGCAAAAAGACTGCCAGTAGGTACCACAAACCCCCGCCTCTGCGCAGTTGAAAACGTGTAGGAAGCTCGAAATTTGGTCATTTTTAATCAACCATAACTCTTCTAATTTGACACCAATCTTCACCCCGTTTCGAACTAAGTCAGTTCAACTACTGTTTTTAGCTAAAATCAAACTATTGAGGACGGCACGGAACGAGATATTGTATAGTAAGCTATCTAAAAGGGTCGCCGAAATGCACGGGAATGCGTTTTTCGCGTCATTTTTCATGCCGGCCGCGGCGACAAAAATTTAGGGTGCCTCATAAAAAGCCTTCGCGCTACGCGCCTCTATAACTGCTATAGTCATGAAACAAAAAGTGCAAGAACGAGCTTTGAATACGCTTTCACCCGGTACCAAGCGCTTGTTGCTAAAGTTAATTGTTGACCCAGAAATATCGGGAGTTTTGGAACCTATTTTTAGAATGGAAATCTCCAAGTCTGACCAATGATTGGTCGAAAGAACCCTGGTCTACTCAAAAGTGGAACATGTCAAGGGAATCGTGTGCAAAAATGACTACGATTGGTCTGGCAGCCGTTTAGCGCCGCTTGTTTTTGTAACAGGGTTGCCAATTTGGCAGATTTTCTGCCAAATGTCATTTTTTGAGCAGAATTTGAAGTCGTCTGGTAGAAAAAAAAAGGTTTGGCAGATTGACAGATATTTGGCAGATTTTATTTTCCGAGGCCTAGGAATTAGGAATGAACGCTTTTACTTTTACAGCACTAACATTGTCTCAATTAATTCAGTCTGATGATTTGATTGTGCCAAAACTACAAAATAGGTCAAATCACTTGGTTTGATTAACCAGATTTTTGTGGCAGGTTCGCCGACAATTTCCTGCCCAGCCAGTTCAGTCAGCTATTTCGAGATCCGCTTTTTTGGCGGTTTCACTTTCAATTTCACGACTCACTTTTAAACTCTAGATCTAGGCCCAGGCCTATTCTGCTAGCTCACGTGGGAAGGGTCTAGAATCTAGATCTAGTGGGTACATCTATCTAGTCGTAAGAAAGCATCATGGCATCGAAGTGGAAAGAAGCGTATGCTAGTGGACGAAAATTTCAGAAAAAATGGGAAGAAGAGTTTCCTTGGCTACAAAAAGCACCTGGTAGCAGTGACAGAGCCTTTTGAAGGTACGTGTACATGCTAATAGTAATAATATACACACAACATAGATCTAGATTTAGAGGGAGAGAGGGAGGGATAGATAGATAGAGAGAGAGGGGGGTCTTAGAAATGTTAATTTTGTAGGCCCTTAGATCTAGAGTCGTTATAAATGTCTGTCCCGCCCTTTGTAAAACTGGTAACACGAATATTCGCCATAGTAGGCTATTTCTTTTTCAGCCCTGCTCCCCCATTGAAACTCTTTAACGCCGCTACGCTGCCTCCAATGGTCTCTATCTTTGTTTTTTTGGTACTGCAAATGAAGTAGTCTACCGGTACCCCGGGGGTTAAGAGTTAATGAAAACACAGTAACTACGGTATGGAGAGTGTAGTCATGATCGGGCGAATTTGCATTACGTTTCAAAGATAAAGAATGCATTTATTTGATGACGCTTTTCTTCTTTCAAACCCAAAGCGCTTACAATCTAGTCTAGAGAATTAACATACCACTAGGCTATTGTCAGACAACACAAACAGCTGTATTGTCATACTGCTTTTTGTAAGATTCTTCCTCTATCTCATCTCCCAACCACAGACACTGCAATGCAGACATTGCTCCCAGACACAGCGTTCTTAAAGACCATGAAAAGGCAAAGAAACATTTAGAAAAGGTTTCCGCAATGAACACTTCGGCCCTTCTCAATGTAGTCAGAACACCCCGTGCGGAAAAGAAAACTGTCCCAACTGAGCAAAAAGCGGCGGAAATTGAATTGGCTGTTTTTGTGGCTTCCCACTCATCTATTAGAGCAGTGGACCATTTGGGAGAATGGATACGTCAACGTGGAGCCGGCAGCACACTTGGCAATTTGCGATTACATCGAACCAAATGTGCGTCGATCATTAGGAATGTTCTTTCACCTGCATTGAAGGATGGACTAAAGAAGGCAGCTGGTGGGAAAAAGTTCACCCTGATTGTGGACGAGTCAACAGATGTAGGATGCCAGAAACTGTTGTGCCTCATTATTAGGTATGTGGACAGCGAGAAAGGAGTTGTGGACGCTTTTCTGGGCCTAGTACCGGTACTGGAAACCAATGCTGAGACACTTTTCCATTCCATGAAGAATGAGTTGGAGACTTTTGGTTTGAGTTTGGAGGACTGCGTAGGCTTTGCGAGCGACGGTGCATCCGTCATGGTAGGGGTTAAGAACAGTGTGTGGACAAGGATCAAGAATGTTTCCCCCAACTGCATACAAATGAAGTGCATTTGCCACTCACTGGCCTTGTGCAAGCAACATGCTTTTGCAAAACTAAAATCTAATCTTGGTTTTTTGCTCACAGAGGTGCCATCTTGGTTTTCCCACAGTTGCCTTCGGCGGGATGCGTTTCAACGAATCTTTGACACCCTGAATGCTAATAGTGAATCAGAGAGTGGCGTATCCCACCCAACACCTTTCATGAGAGCATCAGCAACCAGGTGGTTAGTGAGAGGAAAGGTATTGTATAACATTCTTGTGAACTGGGAGGAGCTGATATGCTACTTCAACATTGCTGAGCTGGAGAGTCCAAGTGACAGGAAGTACAAGGCTCGGTTGATAAAAGATATGCTGAACGACAGAATGAACTTCCTGCTCTTTCACTTTGCTACCCCTGTAGTGCAGGAATTTGAATGCATCAACGCAAAGTTTCAATCGAGCAATGCAGATCCCCATGAGTTGTCCAAGGAGCTCATTACATTCCACAGGAGCTTGCGCTCCAGACTGTACAATCCTCTAGGAGAGAAAAAGGATATTGCAAGTTGTGACTTTGGGTACAAGTTTGTATCCGAGTGTGAAAAGTACTTGATGGAAGTTTCTGAAGACAAGAAAGAAGCAGAAGTCAAAAGAGTTGCAGCGACGAAGGAAAGATGTCATATGATGCTTGTGGAAGCTGTGCGTCAAGTTGAAGAGCGCCTGCCTAGCCCCGAGAACGTGTTTGTTGGACTAAGCCTTCTTAGTCCTCTGAAAGTCTTGAACCAACTGGACAGGACCCGGTTTGAGGATTTGCCTTTCCCTCATCTCTTCGGGGAAAAGGTGAGCACAATAGAAGAGCAATACAGAAGAATTGTTCTAGTCGATTGGTCATCTGAGCCTGTCTTCAAGGAGTCATCAGTTCCCAAGGAGACACTTCAATTTTGGGAAGGCATCAGGAAAACTCCAATGAAAGAGCTTGCAGAATATGCCCTCACCTGCCTTCTCACTCCTGCAAGCAACGCTGGAGTCGAAAGAATGTTCTCTCTTGTTAATTGGGCTATGAATTTGCACTACTGTGAATATGTTCTGTAAGTTTCATTTCTTTTCAGCAATAACTTTCCATTTTATTGATATCTGAAATCAGTCTTTTTAGCATTTTTGAATTAACATTATATTATGCATCAAGGAGTAATTTTTTTCCAATTTTAAGTCTCTGTATTGGCTTAATTTAAACTCTGATTGTCCTCATCTTGGTATTTTGCATAGTTTATACTGGCACCTGTTGAAACAAATAATAATACACACTTTATGTACCTGAATATATTTTCTGTGAACTCACAAAATCGCACTTTTTAACGTGATTTTAAAGTTGCCAAAAATTTACGACGTCCACAAATTTCAAACGCCTGTCATTTTTTAAATTTATTGTCCGATTTCTATAATTCAAACACCAAAGTTCATGGTTTGCATAGTTCTTTATGATGCAACAAACATAAGTTTGATCAAAGCACTTTGAAATTTTGGTTTGTGGTACCTACTGCCAGTACTCGGAGGACCCATTAGTGTACAGTAAGTAACAGGAGGTGGTGATGACGGAGGTCTTCCCCACAGACGCCATACATTCTAGCGCGCGCACACACAAATTGGTGTCTGCTCTCTCCCTCCCCCCCCTCTCTCTCTCTCTCTCTCTCTCTCTCTCTCTCTCTCTCTCTCTCTCTCTCTCTCTCTCTCTCTCTCTCTCTCTCTCTGACACACACACACATATAATAGAATCTACAAATATTTTATAAAAATAATGTAATTCTCTCTCACAATATTATTTTATTGATCTATCTACCTCTCTTTATGTCTTTCTGTTCAGTCTCTCTTTCACACTCTCTCTCTCTCTCTCTCTCTCTCTCTCTCTCTCTCTCTCTCTCTCTCTCTCACACACACACACACACACACACACACACACACACACACACACACACACTTCTACAGACACACACTAAATAACGATGTAATAGTACCCCTTCTCTCTCTCTCTCTCTCTTTCTCTCTCTCCCTCTCTCTTTTACACACGCTCGCACACACACTAACAAGCACGCACGCATCCTCTCTCCATCCCCCCACGCGTGCTGTCTGTCTGGTGGTGTAGTTGCCTCAGTTATTTCCCGCCCTCCACACACACACACACACACACACACACATACACACACACACACACACACACACACACACACACAGAGAGAGAGAGAGAGAGAGAGAGAGAGAGAGAGAGAGAGAGAGAGAGAGAGAGAGAGAGAGAGAGAGAGAGAGAGTACTACACGGACACGCGCGCGCGCCCAAAGAGTTAACAAGGGGGATATCAGACCTGACCCCTGACCGCTGACCCGGACCTGCCCTTTCCACTACCGCGGGAAAGGTCAACCAGCATGACTGCCGATCCTGCTACAGGAGAGAGAACACGTGGTTCGCTCTCTGACACTGAAAGAGTGAGAGTGACCAGTGGTCAGTGGATTTGGCGGGATCACGTACAATGATGTAGTGGGGAGAAAAGTAAAACGTAGGAGCCCCGGCACAAAGACAGGTCTGTCACGATGAGTCTGTTGTTAGATAGTCGGAGCCAGAGCCAGATGTTGACCGTATTATTTTTATTGACATAGTCGCACACACTTGACTCGGATGAATTCCTAAATGAATTTCCTCAAACCTTTCTATTTTTTTTCTTTTACTTCTACTGTCTGTCATGGTGTAAAGCCTCTAAGCAGACTCTGTGGGAGGTTGGCAGGTGCTCTGGTGTGGTTTGTTCCTTCTTTCCCTTCAAACATCTATCATCCTTATCTCCCCCACCCCTTCTTTTTTTTGTTTTGTTTGTTACTCTCTTGCAACACCTCTATTCTTCGGCACTTTTACGACCTTATTGTGTTAAAAGTGCCGTAAAACACTTACTAAATAAAACCAAAAACAAAACAGACTAATATGATATTATTGTATGAATAAAAAGCCAGCATCACGATCTCAGTAATATGAGTGAAAATTCAATTTAAAATAGAAATAGATCTATGCATGAAATCTCGACTTGAAATGTATGAGTGTATCAGAGCCGCTTGATAGCTGGTTATCATCTTATAGACGATGTCGACGGACCATTTCCCACATTTTTTATAGGCCCTACCGATAAATATGTATTATGGCCTTTGTAAATGAATGTAAAATAGATTCAACAAACCCAAAGACGTCATCTCAATACATTTTTATAAGTAGGCCTACTGAAAATATTTATTTTAAAAAAATTAAATACAGCGAATAGAAATTGTTCTGGAAACATGATAGATACTTATATATATATATATCTAT